CCTGCAATTGAAAGGAGCCACCCTGGCAGATCCAAAGCTCACCACACCCATTACAATCTCCTTTAGATCTACTAAGTATATAGTGCAAGGGCCTGCCTGATTGGATACAGATTGATTGAATAGAATAGAATACTCGTATTACATGGTTTTGGTAAAATCTAACTTTGATTGTACATAGATTGTACGGTCATATTGTAAGGTGTATGGTGACGCTAATGGATTGCACTCATCATGAGGGTTCCATTTGTATTAAAGGCTCCTTTTTATGGTCAAGTTCAGGTGCTGAGTATTAAACGTAATTGTTACACCTCCTCCTTCCTATATCCAGCTTTCTCTAGTTCTTCAGTGCCTCCACACCGCTGTCCCCACTTTCCGGTCCTTGTGAATGGCCAAACGTAGACAGGGGTGGAGACATTAAACCAGTCTCTTATACACGCAGAACTGATGATGGGGGTGCTAAAGCTAGCACCCCTTTTGTGAATGGCCAAACATAGATAGGGGTAGAGACATTAAACCAGTCTCTTATACACACTGAACTGATGTTGGGGGTGGTAAAGCTAGAACCCCCTTTTCTGAATGGCCAAACGTAGACAGGGGTAGAAACATTAAACCAGTCTCTTATACATGCAGAACTGATGTTGGGGGTGCTAAAACTAGAACTGTACTATCCAGAGGAACTAAAAAAAATGAACTGTAGGATGATATAAAAAACACAAATGAATGCAATTCTCTATCCATTAATACATCATTAAATGTATTTTTAGATCAAGCAGTATGAATTAGACCTGGTGTTAGCTCCTTGCAATCTCTTTACAGCCGGGCAGGAGTGTCAGAGGAAAAAGCAGCACAAGGAGCCAATCAGTTCATGTGAGGAAAACATAGTGACATAGAGATGAGTTCATCACCGTGCTGCTTCTCCTTTCACTGTCCAGTCACATCAACATCATAAGCGTATAAAAGTTAGCGCTAACAGTGTACCATCACTCTCTTCAAACAGAATGGTCTTCTTGTAGGGAGGCAGCAGAGCACATCCGACAGGGAAATCTTCAAATACATGCAAAACAAACAAAAAGGGCCGCATCTCCTTCTTGTGAAGTATATGAAATGTATTTAATTAATAATAAAAAGATTAAAACTACTCGCAAACAGTGTTGATCATGTAAGCGTGTATGTACTGGTATCCGGCATCAAAAATCACGTGTCCCAGCAAAGAACCAATATAGTGGCAGCAGATGTATAGCATGGACCGGTCCTGCCTGTTACTATGACAAAACATGTATAACATGGTAATGGGCAGGACCGGTCTATGTTATACAATTGCTGCCACTATATTGGTTCTTCGCTGTGACACGTGAATGATGCGGGATACCAGTACATATATACATATATTATTAAGGTTTGTGAGTAGTTTTAATCTTTTTATTATTTATTAAATACATTTGATATACGTCACGAGGAGAAGGCGCTGTTCTTTTTGTTTGTTTCACTGTGCAGTCAAAGGCTGGGGTGTGTCCAGTGTGACCTGGGCTCAGATGAAGAAGGTGAATAGATGCTGGCCGTCAAACTGAGGACATCTAGTGGCAGGAAAAGTACTGCAGGGGTGAATATTGGACCTAATCTGTTTTCATTATTTTATCTTTTAATGGTCTATTATTATTCTTCTTCCTTCTTTCTTTTTTCTTCTTTTTTCCTGTTTGTTATTGGCTGTAGTTCTGTTATAAAGCTTTTTGGACACATCCAAGGAAAAAGTATTACACTGCAGAGGTAAATGTAAAACTATGAAAATGATGGTGCCTGGAGCTTTAAATGACAACTATGGGGGAAACCTTTTTTGCCCATAGTTCTCACCAGGGTCATGGGAGGACATATACTAATGTCCTCCAGTGACCCAAAACACAGTATATAGTGGCTTATTGCCGAGTGCAGAGCCACGCCACAGCCGAGACGGATCCCGACAATAGTGTCTATATCCACCCCGCTGGCTGATTGACAGCTGGCTCTGCCTCACTAGAAGCTTAGTCAGGTGTGTCTGCCCCAGCCCCGTCCATCCCTCCACTGAGTGTTGGAGGATCGGAGAGGGGAGAATCCCTGTGGGGAGTGATGATTGACGGTCACTACTCTCTGCAGGGACAGGATCGGGAAGTCGGTGATCGGCTATATTTGTTCGCTGACCTACCGATCAATAGAGCCGACCTGTCACAGCTTCAGTGTCACAGGTGGGCTTGAATTATGGGGATGAGTGTTTTTCACTCACCCCATAATTCTCCTTTAAATTAAATTTTGACCTTGAAGTTGGGTCTGATTAAGATCAGAAAAAAGCCATCTATTTGTTGGCATAAAGTCACGTGATTCAGAGCCCGTGTACTCCTGATAACTTGTAAAATTTTCCCTTTATGAGAAAGTTTGAGGAAACTCATAGAAAATGGTGAGAACACGTAGACTACATGGTAGTACTCTGATCAGGAACATACTCAAGACCTCGGCTCTCTACAATGCTATTCAGTGTGTGTTCCCATATCGTTATCATTCATAATGTGAAATAACAGAATACAGTGTGCAGAATGTTTTGCAGAGGGGGATCGTTTTTCTTGTTCTAATTGCTGGTCACCCAAGGGTTGTGTGGTTCCAGCAGCAGATGTTAGGATCAAATTACTGCTTGTGTGCCTCAGGAACTGGTTGTAAATAATACAACACCAGGGAAATAATGTTTTACTTGGATGGAAACAATTGTTTCTGCCTTGTGCAGTTACTCTTATGTGGTACAAACTAACACAATCTCTTGTAAGAAAAGGAGGAACTAGACTTGTATCTTGTTTACTTCATTTGATTTGCTTGGGAGTTCCATCGTGATTAGAGCTTTTTCACTCCTAAATGTAATAAAACCTTCTAAGGCTGGGCACACACCTTACAACCATCGCAAGACTTTTGTCTTGCGATGGTTGTAAGGTACTTAAAAAAACGTACGATCTGCCCATCTTGCATAGGCAGATCGTACTTGCAATGATCGCAAGCCACGCCCCCTGAGGGGCGGGCTTCCGATGACCACAATGCCGAACGGACATGCCACAAACCCGCCGAACATCGTACGATGCTCGGCGGGTTTTCGAACATGTCCGTAAGTTTAAAGTCGTGCGACCTTACAGTAGTAGAGGTCGCACGGCTTCCACACACCTTACGATAATCGTACAATCGCGGGATTTCCCACCATTATCGTACGATTATCGTAAGGTGTGTGGGCACCCTTAGGATACTGAAGAGAAGGATGCCTTTAAACAGCAAACTTTATCTATCACACATGTCAAATGGCACATCTCTGCATTCCAGGCCATATTCCAGCCATCAGCTAAAAATACAATAACAGCCATTGCGTAATAGTCCAATCCCAGTCCCACACCAGTTTACCTAAGCTCCCTTTCACACAGGCAGTCCGATTGGATCTGCCTGATAAACTCACCGGAAGCCCAATGTTAAGCTAGTTATATTTTCTTCGTTCAACCTGCAGGCGGAATGAAGAAAACATAACAGATTCCTCCATCAATGCATGTGAGTGTAGATGAAGGAATCCCATTCTGTCTCCATTGTATTCTCACAGTGGCCGCCTGCCGCTGTCAGATTACTTTAACGGCGCTTGCAGTTTATTGGCTGCAAACTGCTTTCGGCCGAGGATTTTCCAACCTGCTCCTTCGAACAGCTGATCAATAAGCAGCGCTATGTGTCTGTTTACATCCAATTATCTCTGAGTCAGTTTGAGACTGGAAAAAAAAAACAACGAAGAAGGTTGGCATTCTTCTTCCTTATTTCAGATTTGAATGGGACAGATTGGCGGTAACTGGGTGTAAATGGACACACGTTCAACTGCTTCCTCTTGTGATGGAGGAAAAAAACTGAAGGGACACAGATGTCTGTTTACATCCAACTGCCCATAGACCTAACATGGGTTAGTTTAGTTCAGCTTTCTCTTGTGATGGAGGAAACAAACTGAAGGGACACAGATACAAAAACAGTGACATCGATTCCATACTTTTCATAATGCAATCAGCAAGGGATGTGTGCATTGATCCCCTGCTGATCAGAGCAGACATGTGAAAAGAGGCCTTATAACTGCTTTCAAAAGTCTGAGGGGAAGCTATAGAGTGAGTGGAATGGACTACTTGTCCACCGCCCACACATGCTTTTGGGACTGGTACATGGGCTCTAATGCTGCCATACATGGCTAGATTTCTCTCGTTGAGCTGACTGAACAGGAGAGAATTGATGTAATACTGCATTTTGGCCACTAGATGGAGCTGAGGAGCAGATGATATAAGTAATTATTTTCTCTGGTCCTCAGCTCCATCTAGTGACCATAATGCAGTATTACATCACAATACATGAGAGAAAGCGTTTGTTGCTGCATCTATTCGCACAGAATGTTCAAAAAGATTTGTAGGGTGACTGGCTCTGTGTCTTGATTATTAATAGACCCCTAAGTGTGGCTGCTGTAGTGAAATAGGGAATGGTGAGCGCTGAAATATTTATAGAGAAATACATTATCTTAACATAGTAGATAAGTGAAAGAGTTAATTTGAACAAAGTGGCTTACATTTTTTCTTCTTTATAGATCGATTTTTTTTTTTTCACAAAAGATAATTTTCCTTAGATGACTGAACATTCTTAAGAATGCTTTATTATGCGCAACTTAAAGAAACTCTAGCCAAAACTTTTTCTGTGTGTTTTACATAATGTGGGGGGAAGTAGGGCTGCAACAACTAATCGACATAATCGATTATAATCGATTATTGAAAAGGTTACACCCTTTGTCTAGTTTTTCTATTGTCGGTGTCCCCATTGTGGACTTTTTCCCTCGCTCCCTGTTCCAGAAATCTGACAGGAAGTATTTGCAGTTCTCTCCAATGTGAGAGGAAATTCCGCCTCTGAATGTTGTCACTGGAACAGATGGCACCATTAAAGATATTTCAGTGGGGTCACCTGGATTTCCCCTCACTCTCTATTCCAGAGACATGACAGGAAGTAAATACAAAAAAATAGGTCTGATCTACTCGGTATGAACACAGACCGCAAATAAACCTGCCAGAGTTGCTAATCCTCCCTCACGCTTTTCAAAACAACAAAAAAGTTTTGGCTGGAGTTCTACTTTACGTATTTGATATTAGAGGAGTCTGTGACATCCACTAAAATGTGTTACTTCTTGCCTTTCACAGTGTGTAATAGAGGACAGTAAATCAGACATGGATATGGACACGTCAGATCACCCCAAATCACCCACAGAAGCCAGGAGGGAAAGTATTGAAGGCGGGTATGTGGACAAGTGGCTAACCTTTACCGTATTTAATAATCAAAGTCAGATTGGAAGAGAGACATAAGCTTAGGTGAGGGCAGTCACCCAGTTTAGCTCACAGGCAGATCTTTCAGTGAGAATTACGCTTGGCCTTTACCATTTTCTGTGCATTTGAACCCACCACGACTTTGCCTATTCCCATTGTTGCTGTGTGTGTGCTATAAAAGTGTAAAGTTCAGGAACGTCACCGGCACTCCAATTCAAACGTGAAAAAAATCCATTTAATGACAAACTTGTCATACAATACAAGCGCTTTCGGGGCCTCACAGGGTAATTGTTGCAGTGTATGACAAGTTTGTGTCATGAAATTGATTTTTTTCACGTTTGAATTGGAGTGCTGGTGAAGTTCCTGAACTTTATGTTATTTCACGGTGCCATCCGTGGTCATTTCAAGCACCCACCTGGATCGTACAGGTTTCCATCACAACCCGGTAAGGAGTACATATACGTTGCTATAAAAGTGTAATTGCCATTTATTTGGGGAAGAGAACAATCCTTTATGTGCGGCAAAGATTTTCGAGCAAGGCTTTACATCCTTTGTTTGAACTTACTACTTCATTATTGTGAGTTGGCTAAAGACTCCAATCCTAGATGATCACTTGAGATGCCTGAATTGGCTACTATATGTGCTTGATGTGTCCTTAGAATATTACATGAGCTTTTTTTAGCATTTTTTTTTTAAAGATTAAATTAAAATAGTATATCTCTTGAGAGCACATGCTTTCACATATTAATATATTCACCTATATATTTAAAGCTGAATGGCAGGCAAGCTGCTTAAAGTATATCTAAAGCCAACATTTTATTTTTTTCTCATTTTCAATAGTGGGGAAGAGTTGAAACCACTTTCAGTTTTCTTTTTTCCATCTGTGTCTCTTTAGGGAGATTTCCCTTTATTTTCTGTCTTGTAGACTCGGCAGGAATTGAGGTGTCAACTCAAAATTTTGGATTTACCCTTCATTTTTATTCCTGGTGACATTGGTGGTTAGAACCGTTGGAGAAAGAAAATCTCCCTTACAGGGGCACAGAGAGCAATAAGTAATGACTTTTCCCCCTCACCACTCTAGCCAAAAAAAGTTTGCCTTTAATTATAATTTAAAACACAGTTAAAATACTTATATATGAACTGTTTACCCAGTCTCGTGATCCAGGCAAATTTGTCAGAGATCATATCCAGTTTACAGAACTGCCCTGTGGTTAAAGTAACACTAAACTCAGGAGTTACATCCTAAAGACGCATTCAAGTACAAGCAGTCCCCGAATTACATACATCCGACTCCTACTTACCAACTGAGGCTATTACTGTACAGCAGGGGTAGTTGTAATGCTACCGCGCTCGTGCCGACGAGGAGTGCCCACCTTTTTGAGTCTGGTTCGTAGTGCTGTACGTACATTACAGGAAGTTGGCTCTTGTTAGACGTGCAGATGAGGGGTGCCCGCCTCTTCTTCCGGGTCACTGTGAGGTTTTTATTGCTGTCTGTATCCTCATTAGAAAGATTTAATCTCACTTCCTGTCCTTGAGACAACAGGAAGTGAGAGGAAATCTACCCCTAGGAAGGGAAATTCACTCTTGTAAGAGTTATTATGGGGAAAAATGTCTCCAATGAAGCTAAACCCAAAATTCTCAAAATCCAATTGTCACAGGGACAGAAAGTGAGGTACAATTTTCTGAACTGGGGCACAGACAGCAACACAAACTTTACAGGGGGTTAACCCTTCCCTATGCTATCCAAAATACTTAAAGTGGAGTTACACTTAAAAAACGTACCTGTTCCAACTTCAATACAAATTCAACTTAAGATCAAACCTACAGTCCCTTTCTTGTTCGTAACCCGGGGACTGCCTGTACCCTAACTATTAGCAATACTGTATCTTATTCGTGTATCACTTAGCTGTAGATATTTAAATCATCTCTGAACTGGTGCTGACTGTTGAAGTAACCACCACTCCAAGCCCGCTCCAGTGATGGACTACAATATCACATTTAGTTTACTAAATTGTATTGAGATTGTAGTCCATAACAGAAGTGAGCTTGGAGTGGTGACTACTTTACAACACACATAGGGGTCTTGGGGAACAAAAGTACCCCATTTCCAGAAGGAAGGTCAGTGTCGGCACCAATTCAGAGATGATTGGAGGATCCACAGTTGAGTGATACACAAATAAGATACTTTTTTGTTAATAGTTAAGGTGCTTGGATGTATTTTTGAGATGTAACTCCTCAGTTTAGTGTCAATTTAAGTGGTGGAGCTTGATCCAGGACCCCTGCCCCCCCTTCCAGCCTGGTATGGTTGAAAAAAAATTGCATGCAAGTTCAGATCAATTTCCAATACCTCAGTTTTGCTCTACAAATTAAACACATTCCTGGCTTGCGTAGCCCATACTGCCAACGCAATGCGGCAGGCAAAAAAAAAAAAGAGCTTTTTTGGCAACACAGTTGTGCTTTGCAGTGCATTGTCTGCTACTATACAGTGCATCAAGGTGCCATTCACATTGAATGGAACTGTACAAAGAGCAATGCATCGTGGTACCTCTTAGCAATGCAGGCGTTTTATCATGTGTTCCTGGAAGGCAGAGGTTGGAATGGGTCCTAAGTGTTTACTTCTATAGGGAGGAGGAGAAAAATATGTGGGCAGACACGGTCTGTGACACTCATCATGGAGAAGAACAATAACAATCAGAACAAGTTTTCTCATCTGTTCAGTTGATGTCCCCCCTGACAAGCATCTGCTTGACCTGTGAACATGAGATTTTCCTCTAATCCGACCACCGTCATAATCTCATGTCTAAGGCCAGCTGTAGGCACAGCTGTCATGTGGCACTGCTAAGCAGAAAATGGAGCTAGCTTGTAATGAGCAAATGTGGTATGTAAGTATACATACAGTATAACAAATGTTTTAAAAACATTAATACACATTCACTCTTAAAGCTTAAAAAAAACATTAAAAGGACTATAGTTAGTTCCCCTTTAAAATAAATACTGCATACACTGCCATCATCTAATTAATGCATGCATATGTCTTTTGTTATAACGCAGCCTCTTCAGCACCAATAAATCCAAGCATTGTACATTAAACCTTTGCAAGAAAACAGAACATTTTCACATGCTATACTGCCCACTCCACTTTGCAAAGTATTTGCTATATAGATTATTTGAACACATTGTGCTCCAGAGTAAAGAGCATGGCCCCGTCCATTCTGGTTTGCTGCATCATTGAGGAAATAGCGTAGATACAAATGGTAAATAATAGTGTCAAAATAATGCCAAGTAGTTAAAAAAGCCAGGAAGTATTCTATCTCTATGCACTCTGCTGATATGTACAAACGAAGAGCCAGAAAATGAATGACACAATTATTTCTGTCTTTATATAGCACTAACACATTATACAGTACTTTACAGGGTACTTATATCTATTCTCACTGATCTTTGACCCAGAGTCTCGGTTGATGCTTAGGCAAATCGCTATTACAAAGATTACATTAGCATATATGGTATGGAAAGCTTCAAGCAGTGCTGGAATAGGATGTTCAGTCACATGAGATACAGTATAGAGGTCTGTTGCAAATACTGCAGTGCTTTTGTAATGTTAGTTTAACAGGTTTGCTTCAAGAATGTAAAAGGGTTAGTCCACCCAAAGCTAGTACTTCATTTTTTTAGGAGATGTTAACGGGGTCAGAATATTCCTATGGAGAATGAAACAGAAGGTGCTGGAATATACAAAGGTGGATGGAACCACCCAAAACTCTCAAGTGGACAGATACAGTCTTAAGCAGAGGCATATCTAAAAAAAGATTGCGCCCCTGGCGTCTTGCCCAGCTCGTGACGTCACTGGTTGCCAGAAGCTGGGTGGGATGCTGGCTAGGGTTTCCCAGGTTGCTAAGAGTCGGGCAGGGAGATGTTAGCTACTTGGGATGCTCTGGCCAGTGTCCTGCCCACACACACATCTCCCCTAACACATCTGCCCACCTGGCTCTTAGCAACCTGGGCTGCTCTGGCTGGTGACATCACTGGTTGCCAGATGTTGGGTGGGACGCCGGCCAGAGCGTCCCTGGTTGCTAAAAGTCGGGCAGGGAGATGTGTATGGAAGAGAGTTGGGGAGAGAGAAAAAAAAGTCTGCAACGCCCCCTCCCCCCCCCGCTTCCTTCAAGTGCCATACCCTGGAAACCCCACTGGTGTTAGGAATAGATTTGGGGTGTCTTATTGATAGCTTACACCGCCAGCAAGGATTGCGTGTCTATCCACACACCTTCGCCGCTTCTTTTGGAGCCCTTGCTGTTTTTCTCTAATGCTTCCAATTATGGGAGCATGTAGCCTCCCCATAATGCAGCCAATGGCTAGACAGAACACTGCCATGTAGAGGGTGGGGCTCTGCCTCAGGGTGGACTCCTGCAGCAGGGAGAGGCAGCCAGGGAGTGTGGATATGCATGAATGTCTTGCTGGGAGGCAGACTATACGCACTTAAGAAAAATGATATTACATTTTTCTGCCTGTATTGCTATATTTTTTTATTTTCCTCACTGTTTTGTTTTTCTTCTAATTGTATTATACTTGTCATGTAGGAGTACAATAAATAAAGCGTTGCCCAGCCCCGAGAGCTCTCGCCAGTGTCCTGAATTTCAGGCACCTTCTGCTGGGGATCTTTGTGGCAGTGAACAGACTGATCCTGAAGCCAGAAAAAATTGTGAGGTAATACATGTATTGTATGTCTTCTGCCTTACAGAATGGTAACCACTTTGTAATATACAGTGTATTGACAACTGAAATATATTGTAAATTACATGTAGCTTCCTTTTTTTTCTTTTCTCCTTCACTCAATACATTAGTGTAAAAATATCAGGCTTGTAGCAAGTTATTTCTTTTTATTGGGTTTACCTTGTAAATATTGCGCTCATAATGGCTTGTTCTTATTAGCTTTTCATTTTGCTTCTGTGTCACATCTTGGAAAACCAACAAAAGGGGAGATGAGGGAAGGAAGCAATGGACAGGAATATTTTCAGAAAACAATTATAATAATCAGCTAAATATACCAACTTTCTTAAAATGTATATAAACATGAAAACAAAACTCACATTTATTGCAGCTCACCAGTCCTTGGCTGCATTAGTTTTCATTTGTTAGGTTAAGAACGCTTTCACCATGTATAGCAAATACCTGTTGATCTGTTGAGACAACAAAAACAATTGGATTTCTTTTCTAAACTACTAATCCCGACAATTACTATGTAATGGAGTTAAACACAGGCAGACATGTTTGATGTCCTGGCTGGGTGACGACCATGACTGCCTCCACATAGTCAAGTGACTGTAGCCATGAAAAGACAGGAAGTGAGTTCTTTGCAGAATTACCAGTTACAAATAAAGGGAAAAAGCATGAACAGCTGCAATTTGTTACAATTTAGTTTTTGGGTTTAAATACTCTTTAAAGGATGCCCTGTGAGGACTCATTCTGGACACAAAGGGGGTAGCCCCTCTCTCTTGAAAGGAAACTTGTTACACTGCCGAAATCCTTCTAAAAATGCTACTTGTTTGACTTCAGTACTTTTTTGAGTCATTGATCTGGAAAAAGTATGCAGCAAGTTAAGTCAGGAATTTGGATCTGCATTTTATTCTAGTTTAGTATCTCAGAGAGCGTTGAAAACATACGGTCAGCCATTACAGCCAGTCAGCTACCATTTTCAGAAGGAGAGGCCAGCAATCCATTTCTGCTAGTCTAGGTTTCATTAAAGTTGCTGACTTGACAGATTTCAATTGTCTACTGCTGATAACTGGTTGTGTGGCATGAACATAAAATACAGTAATTTTTTTAAATGGGAATAGCATTCAGGTGGTCATACACAGCCTGGATATGTCTGTCTGAAGTGACAACCATGGCTACCTCCAAATAACGGGTGTTGCTATTCCTTAATGAGTTGCAGTGGGAAGTATAGACCTCTCTTTGTTACTATATGGTGGAGCATCCAATCAAACAGAGAACCTACATTTTTGAAAATCTCTTTCATAACTAAATAGTTGTAATTTGGCCTCTGTAAATTATTATATATTATATTATAATTCGTATGCCACTGGCATCATTGCTGATACTGCATTGCTTGGCCAGCAAAAATGTAGACTGAGCTTGGCAATGGACTTTTTGACTAAGTGTAGTATCTAACGCTCTCTGTTGCTTTTCTATTTAGGCACGGTGGTTACAGTTATTTCAGCTGGTAGAAAGGCAGTGTCAAGATCAAATAGATGCCCAGCAAGAACAATTTAACCGTCAGTTACAGGTAAAACAGATATGTCTCCCTTCTCTGTCAATGCTAGACACAAGGCAGCTATGTCTATATGTTAAAGTGGTAAACATTTTTTTACTGTTTTAAAGTGTTTGTTATTCTTTCAGTGGTTGGCCCTGTTGGCAGCCTTTCGTTCAGCATCCTTCGATCAGAATCGAAGGAGCCAGTCAGAACATTTAAAGGTGAGCAGTGAAGTCACTGTTCAGGTATTCTGAATGTTTTTTTTCATTCAGCCCACCGTTTGAACAAAAAAAGTATAACAGTGGATGGCCAGCTTTAGAATATTTAGTAATTTTTTCCTAGAGCTGGAAGCAGATGGTCAGTTAACATGGCTACAGTCTCTGGATATAATTATAATAGACTTAACAAACAGCAAAATATATCCTTAAACTGCTTATATGTTTTGAACTGTATACTAAGAATTTGCAGCTTTTCACAGTTTAGGATTGTGGACTTGATAAAGTTCAAATGACATAAGTAGTTCAATGGATTTTTTTGTTCTTTGTTTTTTATGCTGTCCAGTGAATGTGTATGTGTGACCTATCTCTGATCTTTTGCCATGTGCAATTAGGATTTTGGAAGCCATGAATCAAAAGGGGTAACACCGAGCTTGCTCCTTTTACCAATGGCCGAAGCTATCTTTATCAGCAGTTCACTGGGCATGTGTCTTAGTAATACATAAGGCCTCGTTCACGCCAGACACAGTGCTTTCGAGCCCGATTTTGGCCGGAACGCACTGCATCGCATTGAGGCCGCTCTCACTATGTTGTGGGGCAGGAGGGGGTGCATTGAAGTGAATGGCACTATATCCATGCCCTCCTGTCGTAATGCGATCAGCCGCACGGGAACGCAAGGCACACAATGCCTGCGGTCCGGTCTGAACTGCTGGTATCACGTGCCTTGCGTTCCCATGCGGCCGATCGCATTGCGGCCGGAGGACGTGGCTACGGTGCCATTGATTTAATGGACCGCCGCGCCCCCTCTTGCCCCACAACATAGTGCGCCAACCGCAAAGCGATGACGTGTGTTCTGGCCAGAATCGGGTCAGAACACAGTGTCTGGTGTGAACGAGGCCTAAAGAGTGTGGCATACATTTGGAGACGTATTTATAAAGCAGTTAATCTGATATTACCCAAACATTCCCTACAGGTTAATCTTCCAGGTGCATGTGTTTTAATTGACAGTAATTGTTTCACTACCAGTTGAAAGTCACATTCACAATGCTATAAATATGTCTTTAAACTGACAAAGAGGTTGTCATGGTAAAATGCACTGTAAAGAACTACTGCATGCCTATTTCTGTTTACAAGTAGTGATAACCTGGTGCTTGGTGCAAACCCAGATCACCCAAACCTTCACAAAACTATGACCGACACTCCACTCCTTGTGGCCCAATCCGTCACTGCAGACACAGTCCCTGTC